CACGCCCACGGCTGGGGGTGGTATCTACAGAAGCAACTGAGCAGGCAAGCCTGACTTAAGTGTCAACATGGGGAAGCAGAGATGTAGGGAGACATGGATGGTCCCAGAGGGACTATAAGCCCTAAAGTCAGGGAGATGAATCCAGGGTAGGCCTGCCTCATCACCCCACCCAACAGGGAGAGAGTTCTGGATCACTGTGTGGCATCCCCCATCCTGTTACCCACCGTTCTTCCCCTGGGCCCAAGAGCGGCACAAGCATTCCTCCAAAGACACTGACAATGCTCCCCATAACCACCAGCACTCTGTGCCCAGCATCCCTGCATCCAGACCCCCAGTGTCACAACACACCTGACCTAAACCTAGACCTCAGGTCCACAACTCCCAAGGCCTTCTGCACCCAGGTGGAGTCAGGAAACTCCTCATACATCCTTGTATCCACCACCAGTCCTATGCCTGGCACTGATAAGTTCTGCCAACTGAGGCTGGCCCAGGAGACTCCCTGCCCAATACCTCCCCAAGTTCCAGGCAAGGCAGACCTACAAAGAGAGACATGAACTCAGTCTCTCTGTTCTCTGAGAGCCCTCCCCAGGAAGGGCCAAGGGGCCATGAGGAGCACCCATCTCCAATTTGGGGACCAGTGGGTAAAGAACCTGGTACATTCCAGCTGGCATTATAGGACCCTGCAGCCAGAGAGACCTCATGCCACAGAGCTCACAAGTACTTCATCAGAGGTCCTGGTCCTATTTATTCATCCACCAAGAAAAACTGCCATGACCATCACAACAAGAAAAATCATAACAGATGCCATTCGTTTGACAAACACTATCTCCAATCTTACCACCACCCTTCAAGGGAGGGGTGTTTATTCCCACTTTACAGAAGAGGAGACAGGTCAGAGAGGACACATGAGAAAGTCAGGAAGCAGTACAGCAAGTCAGAATTTGAATGCAGATCCATCTACCCCCCAGACCCAGGCTCTGCCCCCAATTTCTGTCTTGCCAAGCTGTTGCTCAGGCCGGGTTATCTGTGGGCAGGACAGTCTTGCTATATCCAATTGCAAGACTTAGCAAGAGTGGAATAAGACTATCATTATGGTTTATTATCATTATGGCAACCAGAAAGATAGACCAGCAGAGCTCTCAACCTCATTCTACAGGTGAGGCCTCTCATCTGCAAGCCGGGCAGTGCCCGGGGGACTGAAATCATTTACAGAGTATAGACAATGTACCAGACGTGCCATGCCCAATACCATGCAGCAAAATGGGGTTCAGCTGGGATTTGATCCCAGGCAGTCTTCACCTCTCCAAACCTATCTCCCAATAGCTCAGGCAGACCTCACACCACCCATGGCCTCACCCTCCCTGAGCCCCCGGCAGCAGTTTAAGCCTGAGGACCCCTGGGCCAATGGCAGTAAGTAGCTTTCACCACCTGCTCCATGAGCAAGAGGAAACAGGGCCCTTGCCTAACAGAGGAAGTTCCTGGGCGGGGCAGGCACAGGGCCAGGAGGCCCGCCTGCGGGGTCCCAGACCAGTCACAGGTCCAGGAAGAGGCTGTCTCCGGAGCCCAGTTCCGGGCCAGATGCCGACCTGCAAGGCTGGGGCTTGCAGCCCCCAACACCCACCAGCCCAGGGCATAGCCCCTTTAAGCAGCAGTGAGCCGGCTGGCATGCCCGGTGGGTGAGTCAGCGCCCAGTGCCCGCTGACTCACCCACCGGAAGCCTCCCGCTGCCCCAGCCCTCTCCCCACAGAGGCAACTAAGAACTTTGCTCCTTTCAGAGCCAGAGCCATGGGCTGGCTGATAGAGAGTTTCCTGTGCGTCACGCCAGGGGTGGGGGAAGTCCCAAGGTGCCACCCTCTAATCTTTCCGATAGCTGGGACATGATAGGACTGGCGGGTGGGGTGGGGGATATTGCTACAGCCACTGCAGGCTGAGCCAGGACACGGACAGTGCTCCTATAGCCTCAGTGTCCCCACAGGGCACATCAGGCAACTGGGAATCAACTGAACATCAGCCAAGAAGTGCGCACGTGGATGGTGCTCACAGTGCAGCAGGGGAACTGTGGTCCCCCTCTGCTGCTTGAGGCAGCAGAGCTGTACTATGTCGACCAAATGTGCCCCTGCCCACTGGCCCCAGCACCAACTGCCCTTGGCCTCTGACCCCAGCCAAAGATGGGATGTGGGCAAGAAAACCAGCAGGGTCATGGGGTCTGGGGCCTCCTACACTCATGGAAAACTCCCCAGGCCTGCCCATGGAACACTGGGCAGGGCACCCCCTGCAAGGCAGGAAGCTCAAAGATAAAACTTCCATAAGGTCGAGTGACAGCCACACCCTGCTTTGTTTAAATTCTTCCCAAAAGGCAGAAAAGAGTATGGTGCTGGGGCTCTATGCCAGGATGGGGAGGGCACCATGGCTCTGTGAACTCAGTTCAGCCACTCCCCCGTCTGACCCTGCTTTTGTCATCTGTCAGATGGGTCGGACTATAGTGAACATGCAATGAGCCAACTGTAAAGGGCCATGCACACAAGAGGAATCACCTCTGCTTCAGTCTATCCTCCAAGTGGAGCATGGTCTAAAAGAGACTCCACTGTACAGAGTATTGAGGGGAGTGTCCCACCAGCTAGCTCAAGCATCCAGCACAGGAATGAGGCAAAGGGAAGCAATAGGGAGACTTTTGGAGATATACAGCCCTAAATGGAACCCTAGAGCTCCAGCATGACAGTTGTGTGACCTCAGTCAAGGCACCAAATGCCTCTGAACCTGTCTTATCAGTAAATGGGGCTGTGAGCAATACATGGCACAGGGAAAAAAAGTTGGTAAGTGGGAGTGCTTAAGAATTTTGGTTAAGATGCATTGTGATTCCCCCATTATATCCTTCCACAGACCCCAAAGAGGCTGATGGGGCCCCTGACCTGAGGGGAGTCTCTGGTCCCCCAACCAGTCCACCCAACATCATCTGTTACCTGGATCCACAAGCTGAAATTTCACCCTGCTCCTCTCTCTGCAGAGACTCAGAGCGAGCAATGCCAGAGCTCCAGTCACACAGCTTATGGGGGCCAAGCAGTATCTCCCTGCAGGGCTTTTTCCCCATATTCCAAGACTTCTCCCTTCACAACCCAGCAACTTTAACTTTGATTTTGATGACGAATACCCTGCCTGGGAGAGCTGAAAGGGACTTCATAAACAAACATTGCTTTTAACTTCTTCCTTCTACCCGTGGAAATACCATGGTCCAGAGAGATTAGGGACCTGCCCCAAGCCCCACAGCACTGACCAAGCTAACTTAGACCCTGAGCTGGAGAAGTGGAAAAGCATCTAATTTCCTGGTTCCCAAGCTCCACGAGGTGTGCTGAGCAAGTCCCTCCCTGGTCACCTCCCCCCTCGAGTGCCTCGGGAGTTACTCACAGTGGTTGGGCAATGGTCAGGGATCTGGCCTCCCACTTATGTAAGACGTAATTACCCTGCCCACCAGGCCTGCTGGCTGGGCTCCGGCCCACAGCCACCACAGCCACTAGCAGCAGGGGCAAGGAAAAACCCACACCCTCTCTGGGACCCCAAATGCCCTTCTGCTGCCTGAGATCCTCTAGGGAAGTGAGGTAGGTCAACATCTGAGTACCCGCCCACTAAGTGCTAACTTTCGCCACCCCACTCTGCAGCTGCAACCCAAACAGAAGCAAGGTCTTGAGCTTGCATGGCTGAGGACTTACCAAGAAGAAAAATGGTAACAATAACAAGCCACACAGCAATCGTCCCTTCCTCAGTAGCTACTTTGTGCCAGGTGCCACGCTGGGCTCTTCACCTAATTGCACGCACTCACCTTAAACTCTTTAGTGTTCACTATCTCCAGTTATACAACAGAAGTCCACAGAGGGCAGGTGTGATTGTTCCCATTTGAGAAAAAAGGAAACCTAGACCCAAAGACACCCCTGATGCAGGATGAGGCAGCAGTATGCTTAAGGAGAGGGGAGGCAGCCCATTCATTACAGCTATGTCCGGTTTGAAAATCTCTCACACAGGCCAGCCTGTTAAGACTCCCGAAATGCCAAAAACATCCTTTCCTCTTCCTGCCAAAAAAAAAAAAAAAAAAATCCCCCTTTCGCCCTCTAAGTCTCATCCTCCCCCCTCTGCATGACAAATCCCACTGCTGCCGCTGAAATCGCCACCTCACAAAAATTTCCAGGAAGAGAGAAGAGAAGAGCAAGCCAGCTGCATAGCCAGCATTTCTGACCTGGGAGCTGGCTGAGAACCCACAGGCAACAGGGACAGGCCTGGCAGCAGGCAACCCTGCAGAATCTGGGGTGCAAGGGGGTGAGTGCCCCAAGTGCAAGAAAAGGTTGCAACTCAAAACAAGGAGGTGCTGATAGAAAGGGGACTGTGCATCAGGGTAGAGTGGAAGGTTCCCCGGGGTTCACGGTTCAGGGCCTGTGGGATGAGATGCAGGCCTGACAGAGATGGAGTAACCTGGGGCCTACAATGATGGAGAGTTGGTGGAGAAGAGGACAGGAAATTTCTAAGCTGGAGTGTAGCCAGGGCACTCGCGTGTACGTGCTGGGGGGGTGAGGGGGGCGTTCAATGAGGTCCCCAGGACGAGACCACTATGGAGTCCCTTAAATCCCAGCCCGGATACAGTGGGCCCCGGGAATGGAAGCAAAATCAGAATGAATCTACCTGGGTGCTGCTGAAGGATCCAGATTGGCAGAGTTCCTGTCCAGGGCACAGTTAAGGCGCAAATTAAGTTAAGGTCAGAATGAGGTTCCCGATCTCAAGCGGCGTGGTCAGAACGAGGTTCTAAACTGAGTTCGGGCCTGGGACAATCCCAAATGCTAAGCTGAGGGTCCAGGTGAGGTCCCAGAGTGGAACCAGGCACAGGGCGCGCACAGCGGGTAGCTGGGCGGGTGGAAGTGCTGCCCGGGCCAGGGTGCGACCTCGCAAATGTCGGAGCGGCAGCCCGGGGCCCGGACTGGGACGGGGGTGAAGCCGAGGCCCGGGCCGGGCTCTCCTACCTTTGGACGGGGGCATGCCGGCGGGCTGGTTCGAGGCCGGAGACTCCATGGGGTCAGCGGGTCCGCGGACGGCGAGAAGAACTAATCTAGAGGACGGCGGGCTCACCCCGGGCCGATGGCGCTCATGGCTGCGGGCAGGCGGCCCGGGCGCGGCGACGGAGCAGAGGCGAAGGCGGCGAGATGCGCTCACGACGGGCGGCGCCGGGGCCGGACTGGGCAGCGCCGCGGGGGCCCCGGCCGGACGGCGCCGACGCAGGCACCGCCCCCGGGCACCCATTGGCCCGCCGGTCTCCAGGGCCCGTCCCCCGCCTATCAGACGCCGGCCTGCCCTGCCCGTCAAGCGCAAGCCTGGCCTCTGCGGGCCCCGAACTGGGCTCCTCCCTCTGCCTGTCAAGCCCGCCCGCCACCCGGGAAATGCAGGCCCGGCCGGGCTGCTCTCCTCGCAGGCTGGAGTCCGCTCCCCCCTCCGCCTGCCCGGACGCCAGCCCCGCACCCTCGGCACCCCGAGACCGCCTCACGGCAGTCTGGCTTTAGGCCCGCCCCCACGCTCAGAGAGTGTCCCCCCCCCGCGCCCCGCCCCCCCCCCCAGTGCGCCTTGTGGGCCTGCCTGGGGTCCATAATCCGAACCTGTGGTGCCCTAGGGTCGCACGACTGGGCCCCGGGAAGTGGGGAGGCAGAGGGATGCGAGAGCCTCAAGTTTCGAGGTTCATCCTGTCTACGTTAAGCCCGGGCTAAGGGGTGTCTCCTGGGGCAAGTCAGGTTACCACTGAGCCTCAGTTTTCCCCGCTTCATGGTGAAAAAAACATCCCTGTCTGCTGGAGCCACTGACGGTACTGAGGCCGGGACTTTCGTGGGCACTCAGGCATGTTTGTCCCGTGAATGTTGTCAAGGGCTTAGGGCAGTGTCGGGTGCGCGCGTTGGTCCCCAGCTTCGGCGCACATCCACCGAGCGCCTACCCGGGGGAAGGCTCTGCGGAACGGGTGGGGATACGGTGGTGAACCCCATGGCACCTAATAAGGAGTCAGTTCATGTAGCTGAGTCTGTAACCCCTCACCAGTTCCCCAACCAGTTCTACACCTGGGGAAACTTGGAAAGAGGAAGATGTCCTTTCAAGGTCTTTTATGCCCTTCTGCAAGACTTGAGGGAAGTCTCATTCTGTTTCTCTCCTGCCCCTTTGGTCCTCTCCACTCTTCTTGGGGGACCTCAATCGTCTCATCTGTATACTGGTCTGCCTTCTGCTCCCCAGGAGAGCCCGGGGACTTCAGAGCCTCTGACCAATCTGGTGTTGTGATTAGGTGACTCGGATGAAAAGCTACAGGCTCCTGAGGGCAGGAAGCACCTAGCAAAGGTCAAGGGGTCATCCCCTTACCTCCAGGCAGGTATGAGTATGTGGCCTGCCAGGGACCTCACATGAGAGAAGCAGATTCCACCACCTGCTAGAAATAATTGGAGCAGGGGTCTGACCTCTGCTTGCCCATTTGTAATACAGTGGTGATCTACAGGGCCCCACCCACACAGTGGTGGGAAGGGTCAGATGAGATAAGGGGGGAGACTTTATAATTATCCTTACTCTCTTCCTGCATTTCTTGTACACCCTTGCCAGGAAGTAGGAGGAAAGTTATGAGCTCTGGATTCAGAAGAGTATGTAAATGCCACCTCTGCCACTTACTAGAAGTCACCAAGCAACTCCAAATCTCACTTTACTAACCTGTCCCATAGGGACAATGACACCTCTCTGAAATTAGTTCATGAGCTCAGGCTTGGAAGTACCTAGGTACCTAAGAAATGTTTTTCAATAAAGATTTGAACCTGTAAAACAAATAAGTTTTTAGATACAGTATGTTCCTCCTACAGGAAGCCATCCTGGCCTTCCCATTCCTGGGTGTCTGCATTAGGCCAGAGCAGCCTGTCTCAAATGGTCACGTGACCGTGGGCTGGTGATTTCACCTGGGGTCCTGCTGTTTGCCCATCTGTAAATGGGCACCCAGTAACAGCTACCTCTCTACCAAATCTGCAAGCCTGGTCCAACAGGTTTTCTGGGTTCAGGCCCCTGCTGACCATTCAAACTTTTGCTCTGCCCGTACGCCCTCTCACCCTCTCTGCTCCTTGCTATATTCAAGGGTCTTAGTGCTGCCTCTTGAACGTAGAAATACTGGCCCGCCTCAGGGCCTTCATGCTTGCTGTTCCCTCTGCCTAGAACATCATCCTCCACTCCCATCTCCCAGCATGATTCTTAGCACTGGTTCCCTTTTATCCTGCAGGCCTCCTCTTTAATTCACACCCCTAAGAAGCCTTCCTGGTCACGTCCCCAAACATGTTTAATCCTCTGCACAGCAGCCACACTGCCAATACCCTTCCTATTTATTCTGTTTTCAATCTGTTCTCCCTCTAGGCTACCAGTCCCTCCTGAGCAGAAATCTTGCCCAGCTCATCCCTGCTGCATTCCCAAAGCACAGTCAGTGCCTGGAACATAGTAGGTACTAAATACTACTCAATACTAAATAATACTAAATATTTGAGGAATGAACAAAGGAAAGATGGAAAGCATGCTGCCAACAGGGATGAAGCGACTCTAGTCCCGTGCCAGCCTCCCGGGCACCCAGATGACTCAAACAAGGCCCTCCACTGGAAGGGTTGATGGTTAGTCAGGGATCCTGACAGCCCAAGAATCACAAAAATCCATGTGGGGTGCTATAAATAGATATATGAGCAAGAGTCTCAGGAAGGTGCCAGACTCCACCTGGGTGGGGTCAGGGAAGGCTTCTCAGAGGAGGTGACTTTGAGATTGGACCTTTAAGGATGAGTAGGAATTTGCCAGGCAGAAAGTAAGAAAAAGCCTCCCAGAGAGCGTTAAGAAACAAAAGGGCCATGGAGGCAGAATGGGGTATAGAGGACTGGGCTGCTGAGCTGCCAGTGTAGGGAACACTGCTGAGAGCTGAAGCTTCTCTTTCAGCAGCTGCAGCAACAATTGTTGGCCTCCTTCTGTCTCTGAGGAGCACAGTAAGGGGAGACTCCACAACGACTCAGAAACCAAAAGGGGCAGTCGATGGTGTCATGACAGATTGCCTCTTATCCTGGCTTCTAGAAGCAATCCCAAACACCCCACTCTATAGACTCAGGGGAACTGAGGCATGGGCTGGGAAGGGGTGAGGCCAAAATCAGAATGTGGATGTGAACTGAGTTGGTAGGATCTAGGCTGACAGAGGCTGGAGAAAGGATGGTCTGAACCCAAGATTGGGAGAGCTGATTCATTCATCCATCCATCCATTCATTCATTCATTCATTCAACAACTATTTATTGGGCACTTATTGTGTGCCTATCACTAAGGGCACAACGTTGACCTAGACAGACACCACTCCCTGCCCTTGGGGAGAGGTGATGATCTGGTGGGCAAGCCAGCCAAGCAAAATGCCCGAGTTAAATTATAGTCTGTCAGAGGATAAGTGCAATGGGGAAAGGAGAGAAGGGGACCAAATGTGCCTGGGAGTGGGGGCTATAACTTGAAAGAGGGTGGTTAGGAAAAGGCCTAAGGAAGGTGACATCTAAGTATAGATCTAAGGAGGAAAGGAAGGAGTCATGAGGATGTCTGGGGGAAGAGCATGCTTGCTCCTCTGGGCCAGAGGGAGCAGCATGTCCCAAGGCCCTGGGGTGGTAGGCTTACAGGGAAATAACTATGTGACTGGATTACTGACTGATGTTTTCATATGCACCCACATGCCTTTACATAGTGGCAGCCCCTTGAGCTGTTTTCACACCTGTGTGAGTCACATACCCCCAAATCACATACACACACTCACAATGTAGTGCACAAGCATGCACATGGAGTGGCTACAAGGGTGCAAACAGGTTCACGGATCCCCAGCCACATGCACAGCTGTGCCCACACACTGTCAAGGCCACTGCCAGGGACCTCCCAGTTTGCTGACCCACAGTGCCCTCTGGTGACTAGATCCAGCACGGTAGCTGGACATGAGCTGGTTGCCCTAAGGAGCCTGGGGCAGCATGGCTGGCATAAACCACGCTCCACCCTCTCTGCCCCTTCCTGTTCCTCCCTGTGCTTCCTACCCCACACAGTGGCCAAAGAGGGCCTCCCAAAATTCAGGTTGGCTGCGCTCCAAATCTTGCCAAGTCTCACTAAGAGGGGACTTTCTCAGACTTCTTCCCAATCGGCTGCTCCTAACCTAAAGTTTCCTTCCTAATTTTACTTTGCAAAGGCTGTACCCTGAGCTGGAAATGCTCCTCCTTGCCTTTCCACTGACATGTTTCTACCCCCTTAAGGCCCAATTCTAAAGCCAGGAGAAGAAGTTCTGCCTGAATGCACCCCCTCCCTCCCCACTTTCCCAACTCAGCACCCAGCTCTGCCAGTTCTCCGTCTCTGCATTGGACTCACGCTGCTCCATAGTAGGGGCTGGTGTTGGATCCTTTGGGGATCAGCTGGAGGTGGTGTTTTGGGGCAGTAAGAAGTTAAACTTGAGTTGTCTAGAGGGAGGCAGGAAACTCTTTGTCAGGGTCAGGCTGAAGTTGTAGTGAACAGAGGAGAAAACTGAGTGGAGTTGGCAGGGGACTCACTGCTCTGTTTACATTTGTCACCATTCAAGTATCAGAGGATGGACTTCTGCACATTAGATGGTTCTATTAGGAAAGAGCAAGTACCTTTTTTTTTTTTTTTTTTTTTTTTTTTTATAGAGGCAGGTTTTATTTATTTATTTATTTTGTTTGTTTGTTTTGTTTATACAAGCACTGGGTACAGTCAGAAGCGCGGGAGGGTGAGAGAATTCACCAGAGCCAGAGTGGGGAGCAGAGCAGGCAGAAGGACCGAAGTACACTGCTGAGGGGAGCAGCGGGCGGCAGGAGAGGTCTGCGCGCCATATGGGACCCTCCTCCGGTGGCCGGGGAGCAGCCGGGGATCGAACCGGCGCCACAGTGGCTGCGGGCAGCTTCGCAACCCAGCGCTCAACCGCTGAGCCACCGGGGAGGCCCAAGAGCAAGTACCTTTTAGAGCACCTGCAGTGTCTTAACACTTTGAAGCACAACGCCTCATGGACTCACTATGACGTGAGTTGCATGAGGTCAGTTACTTTGCTTTGGTCACTGCAATGTCACGATCATCAGCAGGTACTCACTGAACAGTCATGGAGTAGAGAGGAAGGCTTACAACACCCCAGCAGGGTGCA